TGGGCTGCAACGTGGGTGAGCAGCCAAAGCAGGTGTCCCCGCAGTTGACTTGCCACCAAGGGAACGTGGGTAAATGATCAAGGCAGGCATCCCCACAGAGATCAGACACCAATGGAAAGTGGGTGAATAATCAGAGAGGCGTCCCCGCAATGATTAAATACAAAGGGAAGGCTGCCTTCCGGAGTCCGTGACCGGCAGCGGAGTTTTGGGGCCACGGATAAAATGTGTCTCCTTTGTCTCTACTAGAAAATGAAAGGAATTGAAATTAAGAGAAGGAAGAGATTGAAGGGTGGCGCCAAGATTGAAGGAGAAAGAGGTTGAGGGATAGTGAGAGAGGCTGGAGAAGAGAGTAAAAAGAGGCCACTTACCCGATTTAAAATCGGTGAGATGTTCCTTGAAATGGTTGGTCTGAGGACCCGAGGTCGTAGGTGGATCTCTTCACGGAGAGAGGATGAGGACAGCGGACTAGTCTCCCGAAGGAGTCCCGCTGACCGGGGTCTTCAGCACCAAATGTTTCACGTGTCCGTGTGAAGAGACCACCAAACAGGCTTTGTGTGAGCAACAAGGCTGTTTATTTCACCTGGGTGCAGGTGGGCTGAGTCAGAAAAGAGAGTCAGCCTTCACTCTCTATTTCTATGAGTTCATCAGTTAAAATTTTTAAACTCCCATACATGAGTGAGAACATGTGAAATTTGTCTTTCTGCACTGGCTTATTTCACTTAACATAATGTCCTCCAGTTCCATCCATGTTGTTGCAAATGACAGAATCTCATTCCTTTTTTTGTTTGTTTTTTTTTTTGTTGTTGTTGTTGTTTTTTTGAGACCAAGTCTCACGCTGTCACCCAGGCTGGAGTACAGTGGTGCTTTCTCGGCTCCCTGCAACCTCTGCCTCCCAGGTTCAAGCGATTCTCGTGCCTCAGCCTCCCGAGTAGCTGGGATTACAGGTACATGCCACCATTCCTGGCTAATTTTTGTCTTTTTAGTAGAGACAGGGTTTCACCATGTTGGCCAGGCTGCTCTCGAACTCCTTACCTCAAGTGATTCACCTGCCTCGGCCTCCCAAAGTGCTGGGATTATAGGTGTGAGCCATCGTGCGGGGTGATCTCATTCTTTTTTTATGGCAGAATGATTCTCCATTGTTTGTGTGTACTAAATTTCCTTTATCCTTTCATCTGTTGATGGACACTTAGGTTGATTCCATGTCTTGGCTATTATGAATAGTGCTGCAATAAACATGGGAAAGCAGATGTCTCTTGGATATACTGACTTCCTATCTTGGAAGGAAAGGAACTGCTGGATCATGCAGTAGTTCTGGTTTTAGTTTTCTGAGAAACCTTCATACTATTATCGATAGTGACTGTAGTGATTTACAGTCCCACCAACAGTGTAAGAGGGTTCCTTTTCTCCACATGCTTACCAGCATTCATTATTGCCTTTCTTTAGGATAAAAGCCATTTTAACACGAGTGAGATGGTATTTCATTGTAGCTTTAATTTGCATTCCTCTGATGATTAGCGATGTTGAGCATTTTTTGATATACCTGCTGGCCATGTGTATGTCTTCTTTGAGAAATGTCTGTTTAGATCTTTTGCCCATTTTAAAATCAGATTAATTCGGGCGTGGTGGCTCACACCTCTAATCCCATCACTTTGGGAGGCCGAGGCAGATGGATCACTTGAGGTCAGGAGTTTGAGAGCAACCTGGCCAACATGGTGAAACCCTGTCTCGGCCGGGCGCGGTGGCTCAAGCCTGTAATCCCAGCACTTTGGGAGGCCGAGGCGGGTGGATCACGAGGTCAGGAGATCGAGACCATCCTGGCTAACATGGTGAAACCCCGTCTCTACTAAAAATACAAAAAACTAGCCGGGCGTGGTGGCGGGCGCCTGTAGTCCCAGCTACTCGGAGGCTGAGGCAGGAGAATGGCGTGAACCTGGGAGGCGGAGCTTGCAGTGAGCCGAGATCGCGCCACTGCACTCCAGCCTGGGTGACACAGCGCGAGACTCCGTCTCAAAAAAAAAAAAAAAGAAACCCTGTCTCTACTAAAAGTACAAAAATTAGCCAGGCATGGTGGCACATGCCTGTAATCCCACCTACTTGGGAGGCTGAGGCAAGAGAATCACTTGAACCCAGGAGGCAGAGGTTGCAGTGAGCTGAGATCGTGCCACTGCAGTCCAGCCTGGGTGACAGAGCAAGACCCCATCTCAGACACACACACACAGACACACAGACACACCACACACACACACACACACACACACCAGATTATTTGATTTTTTTTCCTATTGAATTGTTTGAGCTCCTTTTATATTCTGGTTATTAATCCCTTGTCAGTACCATATAGAAAGACTACTGATTTTTGTATGTTGATATTATATCCTGCAAATTTAGTGAATTTATCAGTTCTAATAGCTTTTTGATGGAGTGTTTAGGTTTTCTTTAAAATATAAGATTATATCATCTGCAAACAAGGATAATTTGACTTCTTTTTTGTTTGTTTTGTTTTTCCAATTTGGATGTCTTTATTTCTTTCTCTTGTCTAATTGCTTTAGCTCGATGGGTTGTAAATATTTTCTCCCATTCTGTCCGTTGTGTCTTCACTTTGTGGATTGTTTCCTTTGTTGAACAGAAGCTTTTTAGGTTGATGTGATCCCATTTGTCCATTTTTCTTTGGTTGCCTGTGCTTTTGATGTATTACTCAATAAATTTTTGCCCAGACCAATGAACTGGAGAGTTTCCCAAATGTCTTCTTGTAGTAGTTTCATAGTCTGAGGTCTTAGATTTAAGTCTTTAATCCATTCTGATTTGATTGTTGTATATGGTGAGAGATAGGGGTCTAGTTTCACTCTTCTGCATATGGATATACAGTTTTCCCAGCACCATTTATTGAAGATAAATCCTCAGCTTCCCGAGTAGCTGGGATTACAGGTACATGCCACCTTTATTTTATTGAAGATAAATGGTGCTGGGAAAACTGGATATCCCACAGTGTATGTTCTTGGGATCTTTGTCAAAAATGAATTCACTGTAGGTGGGTAGATTTGTTTCTGTGTTCTATATTCTTTTCCACTGGTCCATGTGTTTGCTCTTATGCCAGTACCACACTGTTTTGGTTACTATAGTTTTGTAGTATAATGTGAAGTCAGGTAATGTGATTCCTCCAGTTTTGTTCTTTATGCTCAGGATGGCGTTGGCTATTCTGGGTATTTCGTGTTTCCACATAAATTTTGGGATTAGTCTTCTAGTTCTGTGAAGAATGTCACTGGTATTTTTATAGGGATTGCACTGAATGTGTAGATTGCTTTGGGTAGTCTGGACATTTTAACAATATTGCGCCTTCCAATCCATGAACATGGAATATCTTTCCATTTTTTTGGTGTGTGTCCTCTTCCATTTCTTTCATTACTGTTGTATAGTTTTCATTGCAGAGATATTTCATTTCTTTGGTTTATTCCTAGGTGTCTTATTTTATTTGTGGCTATTATAAATGGGATTACTTTCCTTTTTTTTTTTTTTCAGATTGTTTGCTGTTAGCATATAGAAATGCTACTGATTTTTGTATGTTGATTTTGTATCCTGCAAGTTTAGTGAATTTGTTTATCAGTTCTAATAGCTTCTTGATGAATGTGTTTCTCTTTTTCTTTTCTTTTCTTTCTTTTTTTTTTTTTTTTTGATACGGAGTTTTGCTCTTGTTGCCCAGGCTGGAGTGCAATGGTGCAATCTCGGCTCACTGCCGTCTCCGCCTCCCAGGTTCAAGTGATTCTCCTGCCTCAGCCTCCTGAGTAGCTGGGATTACAGGTGTCTGCCACCATGCCAGGCTAAATTTTTTTTTTTTTTTTTCTATTTTTAATAGAGACAGGTTTCACCATGTTGGCTAGGATAGTCTCAATCTCTTAACCTCTTGATCTGCCCACCTCGGCCTCCCAAAGTGCTGGGATTATAGGCTTGAGCCACTGCACCTGGACAAGGTTGTTTTTTGTTTTGTTTTGTTTTGTTTTGAGACAGAGTCTTGCTGTGTCATCCAGGCTGGAGTGCAGTGGCGTGATCTCAGCTCACTGCCATCTCCGCCTCCCAGATTCAAGCAATTCTCCTGCCTCAGCCTACCGAGTAGCTGGGACAATAGGCACGTGCAACTACACCCAGCTAATTTTTGTATTTTTTTAGTAGAGACTGGGTTTCACCATGTTGGCCAGGCTGGTCTTGAGCTCCTGACCTCAGGTGATCCGCCCACCTCGGCCTCCTAAAGTGCTGGGATTATAGGCGTGAGCCACCAAGCCCAGCTGTCTTTAGGTTTTTCTAAATATAAGACTATATCATCTGCAAACAAAGATAATTTGACCTCTCTTTTTCCAGTTTGGATACCCTTTATTTTTTTCTATTGTCTAAGAGGTTTAGCTAGGACTAACAATAATATGTTGAAGAATAGTGGTGAAAGTGGACATCCTTGTTGTGTTCCAGATCTTGGAGCAAAGGCTTTCGGTTTTTCCCCATTCAGTATGATACCAGCTGTGGGTCTGTTGTACATGGCTTTCACCATGTTGGGGTGTGTTTCTTCCATATCCACTTTCTTGAGAATTTTTATCATGAAAGGATGTTAAATTTTATCAAATGCTTTTCTGGCTCAATTGAAGTGATCATATAGTTTTTGTCCTTTATTCTGTTGATAAGATGTATCACACTGATTGATTTGCATAAGCAACAACCCACTTTAGATGGTGTAGGAGTGCTCCAGTTCCACAGTCGCCCCTCCGGGACTGTTCCACACATTTATATTTCTTGCCTGGCCCCATCAGCATTTGAGTTTGAGGGCCCTGTCTAAGGTGTTTAGATTTTTGAAAAACAAAAGCCAGCAAGGCTTGTAGACGAATGCTGCATGAATCAGAAGAAAGGAAAGCAAAGTGGGGAAGAAAAGCCCAAGTTAATATTTCAACATGTTTCTGGGTGTAGAGCAAAAGGTGAGGAGGATTGGATAAGTGGACCCACAACTGTATTTTCTCAATCAGGATTGACCCAGGAGGCTTCAGTGGACCTCAAGAACACTGGCAGGAACGAATTCCTCACAGCCTTCCTGCAGAACTATCAGCTGGCCTACAGCAAGGCCTACCCCCGCCTCCTTATGTCCAGTCTGTCAGAGAGCCCCGCTTCTGTCTTCATCCTCAGCCAGGCAGACAAAACCTCACACAACGTCACAGTGAGGCCCGGGGAGTCAGTCATGGTCAACATTAGTGCCAAGGCTGAGATGATAGGCAGCAAGATCTTCCAGCACGCGGTGGTGATCCACTCTGACCATGCTATCTCTGTGCAGGCACTAAATGCCAAGCCCGACACAGCGGAGCTGACACTGCTGCGGCCCATCCAGGCCCTGGGCACCGAGTACTTTGTGCTCACACCCCCTGGCACCTCAGCCAGGAATGTCAAGGAGTTTGCCGTGGTGGCCGGTGCCACAGGTGCCTCGGTCAGTGTCACGCTGAAGGGGTCAGTGACATTCAATGGCAAGTTCTATCCAGCTGGCGATGTCCTAAGTGTGACTCTAGAGCCCTACAATGTGGCCCAGCTACAGAGCTCAGTGGATCTCTCAGGGTCAAAGGTCACAGCTAGTAGCCCCGTGGCTGTCCTCTCTGGCCACAGCTGTGCCCAGAAACATACGACCTGTAACCATGTGGTCGAGCAGCTGCTACCCACATCTGCCTGGGGCACCCACTATGTAGTACCCACGCTGGCCTCCCAGTCCCGCTATGATTTGGCCTTCGTCGTGGCCAGCCAGACCACAAAGCTGACCTATAACCATGGGGGTATCACTGGCTCCCGTGGGCTCCAGGCAGGTGATGTGGTAGAGTTTGAGGTTCTGCCATCCCGGCCACTCTACCTGTCTGCAAATGTGGGCATCCAGGTCCTGCTGTTTGGCACAGGTGCCATAAGGAATGAGGTGACTTATGACCCCTACCTGGTCCTGATCCCAGATGTGGCGGCCTACTGCCCTGCCTATGTGGTCAAGAGTGTACCGGGCTCTGAGGGCGTGGCCCTGGTGGTGGCACAGACAAAGGCTATCAGCGGGCTGACCATAGATGGGCATGCAGTGGGGGCCAAGCTCACCTGGGCGGCTGTGCCAGGCAGTGAGTTCTCGTATGCTGAAGTGGAGCTCGGCACGGCTGACATGATCCACACGGCCGAGGCCACCACCAACTTCGGGCTGCTCACCTTCGGGCTGGCCAAAGCTACAGGCTACGCAACAGCAGCTGATTGCGGTCGGAGTGAGTGATGTGAAATATCCCCTGGTCCTGTCCAGCTGGTGACCGTTTTCCACCCACCTGCTCCTCTGTGGCTTTCGGGATCCTGGTTGTCCTTCCCTCACTTCCCTTCTCCGCAACATCCTTCCATTTTCTGTCCTTAAAAAAATCCCTTAGCTCAGCCGGGCTTGGTGGCTCAGGCCTATAATCCTAGCACTTTGGGAGGCCGAGGCGGGCGGATCACGAGGTCAGGAGATCGAGACCATCTTGGCTAACACAGTGAAACCCCTTCTCTACTAAAAATACAAAAAATACAAAAAAATTTGCTGGGCGTGGTAGCGGGCTCCTGTAGTCCCAGCTACTCCGGAGGCTGAGGCAGGAGAATGGCGTGAACCCGGGAGGCGGAGCTTGCAGTGAGCCGAGATTGGGCCACTGCACTCCAGCCTGGGAGACAGAGTGAGACTCCCTCTCAAAAAATAAAAATAAATAAATAAATAAATAATCCCTTAGCTCTTTTTGACCCTGGAGGGAAGGTAGGGAAGAGGGGAAAAGGGGGAGAGAAAAACACAAAATAACATTTTAGGCCGGGCGCGGTGGCTCAAGCCTGTAATCCCAGCACTTTGGGAGGACGAGACGGGCGGATCACGAGGTCAGGAGATCAAGACCATCCTGGCTAACCCGGTGAAACCCCGTCTCTAGTAAAAAATACAAAAAAATAGCCGGGCGAGGTGGCGAGCATCTGTAGTCCCAGCTACTCGGGAGGCTGAGCCAGGAGAATGGCGTAAAAACCCGGGAGGCGGAGCTTGCAGTGAGCCGAGATCTGGCCACTGCACTCCAGTCTCGGCGACAGAGCGAGACTCCGTCTCAAAAAAAAAAAAAAAAAACATTTTAATGACTGTTTCTGCCTTTTCTTACTTAACTGCCGTCCCTTCTTCTAGGCTGCTCTGTGTTAAACTAGAGAATCAGAAAACCTGGGACTTTCAGAGAGGGCTGAGCAACTTTCTCCCTGTGGGGTTCCAGACCTTGGTTTCCCCACCTTTAAAATGGGCAAAACTGGGCAGTTGTGAGCGAATTGCTCAAGCTTTCCAGGCAAAGTGGACTCCAGGATGCCTCCCTCTGAGGCCTGAGGCAGGCTTCTTCCTTCTTCTTCCCTTCTCCTC